CACTCTGTGTGTGATGGTGTGGTGATGTGCACTCTGTGTGTGTGTGATGGTGTGGTGATGTGCACTCTGTGTGTGTGATGGTGTGGTGGTGTGCATACTCTTTGGTTCTATTCGGTAAAGTCACGTAGGTAAAAAAGAAAACAACAAAAATCACAACGTTTCGGCCACAACACAAGTGGCCTTCATCAGGTGAAGGGACCGTGCGGTCACAAGGACAGCGCTGACAGTACGGTCCCTTCACCTGAAGAAGGCCACTTGTGTTGTGGCTTAAACGTCGTGATTTTTGTTGTTTTCTTTTTTACCTACGTGACTTTACCGAATAGAACCAAAGAGTATGGATCCTTGCAGTCACGAAAGCTTCAAATCTAGAAGTGGTGGTGTGCACTCTGTGTGTGTGATGGTATGCACTCTATATGTGTGATAGTGTGGTGATGTGCACTCTTGTGTGTGTGATGGTGTGGTGATGTGCACTCGTGTGTGTGATGGTGTGCACTCGTGTGTGTGTGATGGTGTGGTAATGTTCGCTCGTGTGTGTACCTGGCACAGCCTGAGTGAGGCCTGGTTGGTCGTGCACGTGACACTGCCTGAGTGAGGCCTAGTTAATAGTGCACGTGGCACAGCCTGAGTGAGGCCAGGTTAATCGTGCACATGACACGGCCTGAGTGAGGCATAGCTGATCGTGCACATGACACGGCCTGAGTGAGGCCAAGTAAATCGTGCACGTGGCATGGCCTGAGTGAGGCCTAGCTGATCGTGCACATGACACGGCCTGAGTGAGGCCTAGTTAATCGTGCACGTGGCACGGCCTGAGTGAGGCTTAGGTAGTACTGCACATAGTTCATAGTTCATTTATTTGGTATAGCCCTGTGAGCCATTCGGCTCTTGAATCGGGTGCAACCGCAACAAACAAAAAACATGAACAAGAAAACATCTTAAAGTGATTTTGTGACTGTGCAAACAGAAAATACAGGAAAAAAATATCAAAATATTCCTGAAATAGCACCGTACACCAACGCTGTGTGCAAAACTCCCAGTGGGATGCAAGTCAAACAACAACAACAACCACAAAACAACTAAGATTAAGGCCATCAGTCTAACTCCGTACTACAATAAACAAAAACATGGCCAAAACAAAAAAAAACTTTTCGAAATCACCAAAATAAAAGCCATAAATGCAATGTAACAGTGATCATAGGGACTGTGACCGAATTTTTAACAATAAACTACATAAATAAATTATAACACCAAAATCTAGGGCCATAATTTAGGCCACTGAATAGCAGTGGCAGCTAGGGTTGTACAACTCCTCTAGAGCAGTTTTGAGTGAAGATCTCATAGGTAGTGATTCAAGTTGCAGTTTATTGGCAATAGCATTCCAGACCCTGGGGGCATCAATAGCAAAAGCTCTTCCTCCAGTTTTTGTACGGCAATAGGGAATGTGAAGCTGGTAAATGAGCGAAGACCTGAGGTCAAATTTGTTCTTTGAAACAGAGAGGAGATCCAGTAGGTAGTCTGCGGAATTTTTTGTAAGTACATCGTGAATAAATAAGATCTGGTGCACAAGCCGTCGAACATTAAGAGATGTTAAGTTTGACCCAATGTAGAGATCACAGTGGTGGGTCCGATATGGGCAGTTCAATGCAAATCTTAAGGCCGAGTGATAGATGGAATCAAGCTTCTTCAGTACATTACTTGGGGCTGATTTATACACGATGTCACAGTAGTCAAGTAAGAGGCAGTATGGTAGCTTTTATCAATTCCAAACGGAACATTGGGGGGAAGCAGTGCTTGTGTCGATACAGAAAACCAATTTTTATTTTTGTCTTTTTACCAATATAATCAATGTGATCTTCAAAACTAAGTTTTGAATCCAGGATGACCCCAAGATACTTATAGATCTTGACTTGCCTTTTGGCGTCATCTGGTCAAGCACCAATTGGGTCGAGGCTCAAAAGAAAGCCATCCCTTGGTGTGGACCAATCAGTTTCAAGGACAATGCATATATTATAGTATGTTTTTTGTTTGCATTTTGACTGCAGATATTGTGGTTAATGCAGACATGAATCCTTGTAAAAAGGTTTCAGTTTTGTTGCCAGAAAAAAGGGGAAAAACCCTATTATTATATGAAAGTAATGTTCTGAAACAACTGTCCTACCTCAAAGGGTCCTCCTCTACCGGAGCAGATAGTATTCCCGTCTTTGCTCTACTAACTGTTGGTCACCTAATATAAAAACCTATAGCCCATATTTTCAACCTGTCCATCAAAGAAGCATCAGTTCCTCTAGAATGGAAACATTCCTATGTCCGTCCACTTCACAAAGGGGGCCCTAAAGATGATCCAAATAACTACCGACCTATCTCAATTTTGTCCCCATTTATGAAAATTTTTGAAAAATTATTGACCTACCAAATTAGCAGTTTCCTGTCCACCAACAATCTACTACATCTACAACAATCTGGGTTCCGAAAAAAAAACAGCACCACATCTGCTGCATTAGACTATCTGAATCACATTTACAGTAGCCTTGATAATAAGCAGTACTGTGCCTGTCTTTTTATAGACCTGTCCAAAGTTTTTGATACAGTAGACCACAACACCCTGCTTAGTAAACTGATTTGCCTTGGTTTTTCCCAAAACGCAGTAAAATGGTTACAAAATTACCTCTTTTCTCGCACCCAAACTGTATTCACAGATGGTTGGAGGTCAAACAGTGTTAAGATAACAAAAGAGGTTCCACAGGGTTCCATCCTCAGCCCCCTTTTGTTCTCTCTTCATGTCAATGACTTGGGCACTGCCCTGGATCATTCCAGGTTGAATCTTTTTGCAGATGACACGATACTGATTACTGCTCGCCGCTCTCCGGATGACGTGATTGCTAAGCTACAGGGTGATTTCAACAAACTACAACATCAGCTAGTTGCTCTTAAACTAGACCTGAATACCTCCAAAACCAAGGTGCTATGCTTCTCACCAGGACTAAAGCAGGAACTTATTTTTCCCCAATTACATTCCTTAAATAATTATCAAATAGAGCAAGTCAAGATCTATAAGTATTTTGGGGTCATACTGGATTCAAAACTGAATTTTGAAGATCACATTGATTATATTGGTAAAAAGACAAAAATTAAAATTGGTTTTCTGTATCGACACAAGCACTGCTTCCCCCCAATGTTCCGTTTGGAATTGATAAAAGCTACCATACTGCCTCTACTTGACTACTGTGACATCGTGTATAAATCAGCCCCAAGTAATGTACTGAAGAAGCTTGATTCCATCTATCACTCGGCCTCAAGATTTACATTGAACTGCCCATATAGGACTCACCACTGTGATCTCTACATTGGGTCAAACTTAACATATCTTAATGTTCGACGGCTTGTGCACCAGATCTTATTTATTCACGATGCACTTACAAAAAAATCGGCAGACTACCTGCTGGATCTCCTCTGTGTTTCAAAGAACAAATTTGACCTCAGGTCTTCGCTCATTTACCAGCTTCACATTCCCTATTGTCGTACAAAAACTGGAGGAAGGGCCTTTGCTATTGATGCCCCCAGGGTCTGGAATGCTATTGCCAATAAACTGCAACTTGAATCGTTACCAATGAGATCTTCTCTCAAAACTGCTCTAGAGGAGTTGTACACCCCTAGCTGCCACTGCTATTCATTGGCGTAAAATGAAATGTTTCGCTCCGGATGATGCTGCAAAGTACTATCTGTATTTTGATTTAGCGTGATCTTAAATGTGCATTGAAAAATGTGATACTCCGACTGATGCTTCTGTTGTGGAGTAACTCATGCAGCCAGCTATGGCTCTAGGATTTGGTGTTACATGTTATTTATGTTTATTGTAAAAATTCGGTCACAGCCCCTGTGATCACTGTTACGTTGCAATTATGGCTTTATTTTTTGATGATTTCGAAAACGTTTTTTGGTTTGGACATGTTTGTTTTGTTGTAGTACGGAGTTAGACTGATGGCCTTAATCTAAGTTTTATTGTGGTTGTTGTTGTTTGACTTGCATCCCACTGGGCTTTTTTGCACACAGCGTTGGTGTACGGTGCTTTTTTCAGGAATATTTTCCTGTTTTTTTTCATGGATTTTCTGTTTGCACAGTCACATAGTCACTTTAAGATGTTTTTCTTGGTCGTGTTTTTGTTTGTTTGTTGTGGTTGCACCCGATTCAAGAGCCGAATGGCTCACAGGGCTATACCAAAATCAATAAACTAAACTAAAACTGCAAGCGAAACATTTCGCTGCACGTGGTGTGTGGTGGGGGGCATGGAGAGGCGGGGTTCCGGTGGATGTGGTGAAGTGGTGGGCATGGAGAGGCGGGGTTCCGGTGGATGTGATGCAGTGGGGGGTATAGAGGGGCGGGGTTTCGGTGGAGTGGGGGGGCACGGAGAGGCGGGGTTCCGGTGGATGTGGTGTAGTGGGGGGTATGGAGAGGCGGGGTTCCGGTGGATGTGGTGTAGTGGGGGGTATGGAGAGGCGGGGTTCCGGTGGATGTGGTGTAGTGGGGGGTATGGAGAGGCGGGGTTCCGGTGGATGTGGTGTAGTGGGGGGTATGGAGAGGCGGGGTTCCGGTGGATGTGGTGTAGTGGGGGGTATGGAGAGGCGGGGTTCCGGTGGATGTGGTGTAGTGGGGGGTTTGGAGAGGCGGGGTTCCGGTGGATGTGGTGTAGTGGGGGGTATGGAGAGGCGGGGTTCCGGTGGATGTGGTGTAGTGGGGGGTATGGAGAGGCGGGGTTTCGGTGGATGCGGTGAAGTGGTGGGCACGGAGAGGCGGGGTTCCGGTGGATGTGGTGCAGTTGGGGGTATAGAGGGGCGGGGTTTCGGTGGAGTGGGGGGCACGGAGAGGCGGGGTTCCGGTGAATGTGGTGTAGTGGGGGGGGCATAGAGGGCGGGTTTCCGGTGTAGTGGTGGGCACGGAGAGGCGGGGTTCCGGTGGATGTGATGTAGTTGGGGGGGGCATAGAGGGCGGGTTTCCGGTGTAGTGAGGGGCATGGAGGGGCGGGGTTCCGGCGTGTGGGGGCCGTGTGAAGATGGCGGACGGCGTGGACCATATAGACATCTACGCCGACGTCGGGGAGGAGTTTAACCAGGTGCGGCTGCCCGCGCGCTCCTCGCGCTCCTCTCCCCAGGTTTCCCCGCTCGGTCTTCCCGGGATCGTCTCCAACCAACCCCGCACCAAACCCACCCCCGGGGGGGGGGGGGGGGGGGGGTTAAGGGGAGCGAGATCGTGGGCGGTGGACGGAGAGCGGCGGCGAGGCAGTAGGTGGTGAGGATTGTGAGCGGGAGGAGGGGGAGCAGGCGGGCAGGGCCGCGTGTCGGCCATCTTAGTCCCCACACAAAGGCGCGGCAGCTGCGGCGTCCGACGCGGGCCCCCCCCCCCCCCTCTCACCGGGTCCGTGTCTGCGAGACCTCTCTCTCTCTATCTCTCTCCCGTGTCCCGAGGAGTGTCGTCTTCACGGTCCGCTCGCGTTTTTGAGGCGGGTTGTCTGGTTCTCCGTGTCAAGTGTTGTGGACCTGTGGGTCAGCCCGTTTCCTCCGTGGCTCCTGACTTGGGGGCAGCTGCGGCTGCAGATTGGCCTCGGAACACGCCGTGTGTGTGTGTGCAAGTTGGTGTTTGCGCGCGTCCGCGTGTTAATTTTCTGTGGATGTCGGTCGGTGTGTTTTGTCTCGTGTATATCTTGAGTGTGTTCGCCGAAGCACGTTTAGCTATGTGACTGCGCTGTTTCAGTCCGTGTTTGTATTTTGTCTCGCTGTGCACCTCCGTGCGTGAATAAAACGCCGTGTGCCCTCCTTGTGCATCGGTGCTATCGCCAGTATACTTTGCGCAAATGAATAATCCATAGTCGGGTTTGTACCAACGCTTGAATTGCCAGGAGGGCTTGTGGACTGTTCTCTCGTGTGGCCAATTTTTTTTTTAATATATGCTGACTGGCATGGGACGTTTGTCAAAGCTGGCGAGACGGAGCAAATTTACCATCGCCCATGCTTTGTCGAGCGAAAAACACTGCTGCAGCCAATCCGCATTCGTTTTGCACGGTGATGGTGGGCGTATCGGTGGCCGCAGCGTAAATGTATGGCAGAGTTTGGAGGAGGAGGAGGGTGGTGGTGGTGGCATCATGCCATGGGCCAGCGATTGCAGCACAGCTTTTCCAGAGCCGGCTACATTAATCACGACCATCGTCAGTCAGGTCATTAGCAGGCCTCGATTTATCTGCCCCTCATCGTCTTCTCGAATCTCCCTGGCTGCCAAGAGCCCTTGCAGTGTTTGCCGGGCGCGTTGAGCCCGCCCGCCCCTTGACGGGTTCTCCAGTGAGGGAACGCATGGAAGTAGTACTACGGTTGAGAGCGTCTCTTCTTCTTCCTCCCCCCCCCCGCAGGAGCAGGAGTACAGTGGCCACGACAACGTTGACCTTTACGACGACGTGATCGTCCCGACTGCGAGCAACGGCGAGGAGGCAGACGAGCGTGACTTCCAGGACTCTCTGGCCCCGCTCGACGAGCCGGGGAAACACACAACCTCTACCGGGGGCCCCAGCCTAAACTATAGCTATAACGGCAAGCGTGTGGCTCTGTATGTAGGCAATCTCACCTGGGTGAGTTTGATGGCGGTGCGCGCAACAAAAAATATTTTTTTTACCACCGTTGCGTCTGCACCGCCCTTTTATATAACTAACACTGGCCGGTCGGTCCGTCTGTGTTGACCTGAACTTTTCGTGATCGATTGAAGTGCACTTTCTTTTCTCTCCCTTGTGTGTTGTAGGGAAACGCACCGGGATGATGTTGTTGTTGTTGTTTTTGATCTGCATGTGAGTAAGCCACTCAAATGTTAAGAGTCTAATGAACGCGCCTTCTCTCTCAGGTGTTGATAACGAGAGTGGCTCCTTCTTAAGCAGTTGAAGAGGGGGTTCTCTTATGGATGGATATGTTCGCTCTTGCTTTTTGGGCAAGAGAAGACTTGAAACAATGCAACCTAAAAATTAGTATGCAGAAATATATTTGAATTAACATGGCTTACAGTGATGTTTAAAAATTGGTTTATGAAAGCTACTTTATTAACACTTTGCAGTTTGACAAATAATTCCTCGACGTTTGATGTTAGATTATTTTTATGCAAGCATATGCACACTGTCGCATTGAGACGTGAAAATTGTAATGTTTCATGTGTAATGTAGCAGTATACATAATACTGTCGTCATGTTAACATTATTGTGTCAATGTTTCCATTTGGAAAACACTCGTGCTTGATTCACCAAAAGTTCAGGTCTCAAGTTATTTTGTAAATAAGTGTTTGTTATTACAATATAGTAGTGCAATGTTCAGTTAAATATACTTTACACGAAATGTGTTTTTTCAATATATGCTGGTCACCAGGTACCATATTATGGTATTCAAATATTTTTTATAAGATTGTGAACATATCCTTAATTGTTTCTGTGCTGTTATGACCAAAACATGTATGAGATTAATACTTGCTAAACTCCATTAGATATTTAAATGTACATCAATTACAAGTGAACCAAGCTGAAACATTGTGATGTTAAAATGACATAGCACAATCATGCGGTCCTTTCGAAAAGTGTTCATGTTAATCGAAGCCTTGGCTCCTTGGTTTATGTACAAAAGAATTGCGCAGAAACTCAGTATTTACGTGCAATTGCCATTTCCCTTTGCTAGCCCTGCTCGGACCCTGCTCTTAGAATTTTCACCAAAGGCCCTCTCACTTTCCGGTATGCGGTTCAACAAATGCAACTCAAATTTAGTTGATGCGTTATTTGGTGGCTGAACATCTCGGCGTTTTTGTTTAAAGGGAGTAAGTTAATGGTGTGATTCCCGCTACAGTGCCCAAATTTGCTTTACAGGGAATTGCCAAAGTGTGCAATCTGCTGTAAAGTAGATACTGAACAGCTTATGGTGGTGTTTGCTCGTAACATTAAGCCGTTTTACAAATGATGCAAATGTAAAGTTTAATTTTAAATTGTAATTTGTAAAAAAAAAGTTATTTTTTGCACATCTCCCAAACAAAGAACAAAACCTCAATGTTCACTCATCGCATCGCTGTTGAAGCAATGACTGCTACATTGCAGTTTATATTCTTCGTAGCCGAGCAGGACCATCAAAGCTGGAGCTCGTCCTCAGAGACACTGTTTTTGTGAAAGAAGTGCTGTGTTTAGGAGAGTGCTGTGAGTGCTTTGCTGCCTTGTGTTGTGTGCGAATACTTCAGCGCAGTTTACAGAGCTTATCGGGTTCACTCGTGCGTGTTTACAGGGCCGTTTCTGTTTCACTTTCAAGGATGGGGCTGGGCATATGTAACAACAAAGCAGAGCGTAGCTGTACCGATGACTGCACAGTTTTACCGACCTAAGCTTGGTTGTAGTTTGTATTGCATCATTAATTGGTGGCTAATCATGCTGTATGTATTTTGCTGCTGTAACAGTTTTTATCACCGTGTTTATGGGATGCTGGTGTGGTGTAATAGGAAACACGCTGGACTTGCAAACCAGGGTTTGCGGGTTCCTCTTGGCGTGGAAATTAAAACAGAGGGCGAGGTTCTTAAAACTCAACTGCCTCTGTCCACACAGCAGTATAAATGGGTACACCAGAGTCGATCGCCAGGTCATGTGGTGCCAACATGGAAGAGTAGGCTAAATACCCTCGAGTGGAGGCCCTTCTGCCAGTAGTGGTATGAGTGAGCAATTGCAGGGATGCGCCGTTACTTTTTTTTTACTTTTACTGTGTGTGAGTGGCTTTGGCCAACAGAGCACTGTGTAATAATGTATTTGTTGTGGATGGGTTTCTCTGTTGCATGTTCACACCAGGGAACCGTGGTGCAATGTTTTTTTCTATGCGATGGGTCACGGGTTCTATAATGAGAATAAGGTTCTGTATTAGAAGGGTCAATTTAACTTGCCCAGAGTGGAGTGTGGTGTTTCTAATACTTGGTTAAAAGAGATGACCTGTATCGTTATGGTTCAAGGATTCTGTATTGGTAGACGGTAATGCTCTTGAAAGGGTCAAACGCCAGCAGCATAAAGAGATAATGGTTCTATGTGGTTGCAATGTCGGGTTCTGTATTTAATGCCCATGCTACGGCACCCAAACAATGTGAGTTTTCTCTATCTGATGGGTAAAGAAGTAGATATTGACGTTAACGTAGGCTCCATGTTATACGGCTTAAATATTCCGTGATGAGTGGTAAAACTCAAGGCATCACAACAGTGAGTTTTTTTTCTGCTTGTGTTGGATCGAGAGGTGAATGTTGCAAGAGATTAATGTTCTGTGTAGGAGCGTTAAGCAATTCTTGATCAGATAGTCAAACTGTCACATGAACGCAACAAGGGTTCCAAATCAACATCATGGTTGTGGTCACCTGCGATGTGGCTATATTCTCAACTGAAAACATTTGAATGGATACTGTGCTTAGGTCAACACTGACCAATACCCACTGGTAAAATCATTGTAACGCTAGACCAGATCAACTTTTTTTTGTCTTTAAGCTTTGTTTCCGTTGCGTGGATTATCTCTTGTTAAATTGGACAAGCATAAGTCACAAATTATACAGAAAAACAAAGCAATTTAGTTCCGTCGCTTATGTTAAGTGTCCAAGCTGCCTGTTTTGCCTAGTTGCATGCGTAGAAGCAGGGACTTGTAGATACGTTGGGGAAATTCAGGGGCACACATTACAGCTGTTGACGTTATTGAGTGGGCATTTTAGTAGCATCTCTGTACCTTTATACATTACTGTAATTGAACCCTTTATTTTATGTATGTGTATCATGTGTATCTGACCAATGTACAATCAGAAGGACCGGGTTCATATCGTGTTTGGGAAGTGGGAATCAACTCAGCCCATCGCCCCTCCAGTGGCAGTGTTGTGGCCAGGAGATGAGATAACCGCAACGAATTAAAGCCAACTAGCTTTGAGCATTATACCCACGTATGGGAGGTTTACCTGTCGTAACGTTGCAGGACCCTTCTAAATAAGATGTACTTAAAAACTCGACAATGCTTTCCTTGATAAAGGGCATGATTGCTGTCAACACTGCTTATCATATTCAGAGATTGACTACCGTAGAAATGTGGAATTTCCACTGCTGGCCCAAGGGCCGTGAATGGGCATTAGTGCTCCTCCACGTTTACTGTATTGGGGGTGACATGTTTACTGGTTTACAGGTTTACTTATGTGTATTTATACGATGACTTGGAGCCGTCTTGCAGTGTATGTAGTTGAATCGTGAGTGTATAACGGCTGCAGCATTGGTGCCCTCGTCCATTCACCGCAACCAATTGCCAAGCGATCTAATTTTTTCCTCGCTCACAACAGCGTGCCCGATCCCTGACACCTGCGGCTGTTTGCAAACCGACTTGAACATGCTGTTTCACTTACGGACTGATGACACTCAAATGTAGAGTGTGACAGTGACTTGTTACAATTTAAAATAACTTTTCGGTGCTCTTGCACACACGCCAAAGCTGCATATGTAGTGTTTGGACGCCACATGAACCACTCGTCCTTGAAAGTTTCCGCACTGCCGCGCGCACGCCCTTAAAATGGAAGCTTTATCGAAGAGACACTTTTAAAGAAAATCCGTGCAATATGTATATCTGTTGTAATGTGAGTAATATATTACTTTGATATCATGTTTTAATAAGACATGCAGGACATTGATTATTTAAGTTATTCCTAATGTTTGCTTTTGAAAGTGCAAGTTTTGAATTTGTATGCTGCAAATTAAATTTATTCATGTGCAGAGTAAATATTACTTTTCTGATCAGTGCACATCTTCACAGCACTTGTGTTTTGGCGTAAAACCTGCAGATGATTGTCAATGAGGTCATCGTCAACCATGATCAGTGCACTGTTTGGATGAAGCCTTTCCCAAGCTGCTGCTACCTGAAATATTTAAAGATTTACTAAATTATACCCTGCAGTGCACATTGACAAAAACCACCGCATGCTTAAAACAACAAACCCTGTAAGAAATGTGTAAACGTGTATTTGTGTTCCCAAATAGAGTCCTTTAACCAAACCAAAACGAGCTTTCCAAGAGCGGACTCTTTTGTGTGTGCGCGAGTGAGAATGTCACAGTGAGTCGAGCACCTGCGTACGTCACACTCCACTCACAGGGGACGCCGTGGCTGTGGGGCCAGAGTTTAGTACCCATCTGTGTGCTGTTGGTTTGGAGGAATCCGGGGACTGGTGGGGAATGGACGTGACTATTCATTCCATGAATTGTCACAATTTTGGGTCACATTTTGACCGTTTGTATTGTCTGTTGTATCGTCCGTCTCGTTCCGTCCCATTTGTTCCAGTTGCTAAAAAAATTCGGACATAATTAGGCATGTCATGGTCAACCCCTCGTAATTTAGCTAGATTCCGAGATTCAGATTCACTTCGATTTAAGGATCTGTTTTGGTCTTTGTATTGTTTGTTTGTATGTCTTGTATCGTTCTGTCACGTATCTTCCTTTAGTCAAATATAACGTTTGTACTTTATTATCTAGGCATGTAACGATTCACTGCTCATCGATTCGGTGAATTGTCACATTCCACGGTCACTTCCATTCAAGAATATTATTTTGTCTCATATCGCTATGTACACAGCCGAGCTTTGGCAATTATATGGCCAAATGCTGTGTGAGAGTGTGACAAGCACGTGGTTGTGTGAGCGTTGATCAGGGGGGTGGCAAGCCATGCGGGATCCGCGAGCCCATGTTGAGTTTCTCTCTCCCACAGTGGACAACCGACGAGGACCTTGTGAATGCCCTGCAAGGGATTGGCGTCACCGACATTCAAGAGATCAAGTTCTATGAGAACAGAGCCAACGGACAGTCTAAAGGGTAGGACGTCAGACTGTGAGTGGAGAGCCATTGCCAAGCACTGCCGTGGCCCGGCATCTTTTATTTTTAATACATTTTTCGTATCTTTTCTAGTTTTATTCCAACTGCTTTTGGTGTCATGTAATGAGAAATGTTCTCCAAGTATCGGTGAAAAGCCAAATTAAATAAGATTGCTTATTCAGGCATTGATGGCTGATGGCATCAGCTTGATGCATTTGACAAGCAACTAATCTCGGGCGGCTGAAACCCATATTTGAACACAGGACCTTGACGATACCTGCTCAATGCCTCTCAGCCACTCGGACCTGTGGCATTGGATTGTGGGGCTACACTTTGCCGATGAGACTAGACAAAACCAAGTTGGAGGCTAATTCATTTAATATATGAATGCTGCTGGAAAACACTTAAGCTGGAAATAAAAATGTTAGGACAGATCTTTGAGGTCACGTGTCAACTGCGCAACAGCTGCGGGATCTGGCGGGGGTCGAAAGCATTGGTGTGGTGTCATCAACGGCTTTGGCCATGATGACATCTTGACAATGTAAGATGCTCTTTAAAAAAACGACTGCTTTTGTAGATACATGATCGTCTATCATCCTTGGAAGATTTCACCACTCGTTTATCGTAGAATCTACCATCTCCCATCAAATCATATACTGCCTCTGTCTATGCTTTCCTCACTGGCTATTTGCACTACAGAAACGGTTCTGTTTAAACTAAGCTTAAAAATACTTATAAGTTTACATTAATTGTTTTTGCTCTTAAACACCCCAGCACCCAGGCAGGTACATAGATCAGTAGTCGTTTCATGCAGCTTTAGTTAAAATCTGCTAACCAACATTTCATCGGTGATCTCAGGGAATGTCTCACATAAACAATTGACGACATTTAGTCGTGTCACGACTTTTCCATAGTTGTGGTTTTCATCATTGTACAAGTGAAAGATGGATGTTAAGCCAAACTGCAATTGTCAGGCTCCAATACAAGCAAGGGAATGCATCATAAACGTCTACACCCATCCGCTCCTTTACCAGGGGGAATCTGATGAAACAATTACCATATAATTGTTATATTAATTAGTAATTTTATATCGTACACTGTCATTCGTGCAAATAGAATCTCATACGCCAAACATGGCAAACCACATTGATGCAAAACATGACAGGCGATGCACCACAGACAACACAAACATGAGCCATGTGAAGCCAACAATAAATAGTTAAGCTGTTGACATGGGTGAAAATCCAGAGAATAGTAATAACAATGATAATAAATAGATTGCTTTGATGCTGTCACTCCTGTCAATATCCTCCCTCAAACTCATAATCTTCAGTGCCCTAGTACATATCAGCTGCCTACAGCTGATATGTCCTAGGCCATCAATCGGATTCTCACCTTGTACCTAAAATTATAGATTCTGCAATTCATCCCCGTCAGCCGCACAGAACACGAGGGTTTGGCTCTCACCCAAGTCTCATGGTGATGCCGTGGCATAGCTTGAAGAAGCCATCGCTCATTAAAGCAGATGTCACCATACCCGGTGGCAATAAGCTGCAGGCACCGCAGCCCAAATTGTAAATCAAAGGGGCTGCGTTGGCATTGATGTACAAGCACGGACAAAATAATACCCACAAACACTGCCTTATAGTCCTCATCATCGGCTATGATCATTCAACTAATGTGTGGTCCACCATAGGTATTGAAGTCTTGTTTGGCCCACAGGGAAAGGTTCCCCAACCCTTTCGTTTATCCAGGAAAGCCTCTCGAGTCTCAACGATTTCAGGAGGCTTTGCCAGTTTTTGCAGTCGGTGAATGTTTTTACATGTAATACCTATTGAGTAATTGGCATGTAATGTTGAGCATTGGGATGTTTGGCCAGTACCAAAAATAATAATTTTCACTGGGAAGAAACCAGAGAGCCCGGAGGAAACTCGTGTTAAGAGAACAGGGAGAGAATGTACAAACTCCATGGAGAATGCAGCAGAGTCGGGAATCGAACCCATGTTCTTTATTGTGAGTCACAAGTGTTACCACTGCCACCCTGAACTATGTCATTGAGCTGCGTATGTTCCTTCAGACACTCGTGACGGTTGGGTCACTTGAGTGGCAGGGTATATTGTGTTTTGTAAGAATTCCAACCGACCCAGATCCTGCTGCCCTCTCACCACCAGGTTTGCGTTGGTGAGCGTGAGCCTGGAGGCCTCATACCGCAAGGTGATGGACCTTCTGCCCAAGCGCGAGCTCCACGGACAGAACCCCATCATCACCCCGTGCAACCGCCAGTCTCTCAACCAACTCGAGATGCAGTCTCGTAAGACAGTCTCACATCGTCCCGCGTCCATACCGCCACGCCACGTGTGCGCCTGATCCTTGCTGTGCCAGCACAGTAACGGCCCAAGGCTTTTTTGGTTAAATTATTCAGCCAACAATTAGAAGGTTGTCAGTTCAAATCCCAGTCACCATCACAATTTCATGAAATAAATACTGGTTTGTGTGAATTTGACAATGGTCATCCTGTAGACATACCGGCCCCCAGCATAGGAATGTGGAATTTCCATTACTGGCTTTGGGCTGCCGAGAGAGAACGACCTGATGCACTTTCAATTGGTGAGTTTATTCTGATAAAATTTACCACGGTGTATGAATTGCTGTTAACATCACTTCACTGTGAATCACCAGCGATCGCCTTGGATATCGACTCATCCTTGCCATAGGAATCTGGTGTTTCTATACCCATCAATCACTTGATGGGAAACCACTTCTCCATTCTTTTCATATCGGAGAAGGGAGGCACCTGGTGTCTCGGTGACTACAACTCACACGATTCGCTTTCACTCGTCCTTTTGGAATGTGGAATGTTCCGTTGCCTCCTGTTCTGCCCGCTCACCCTTATCCCCCTCATCCTCCGGGAAAACAGGTGGGCCAAGTGGGCAGATGTCCGGGGAGGGCCGTGCTGGTCCCCCAGGCAGCGGCCCTCGCGGGTCGCCCTTCCCTCCCCCGCCTGTTGGGCCTGGCGGTGGTGTGAGGGGCCGCTTTCCTTCGCCGGGCCCAGGTCCCGTTGGGCCCAACATGGACAGGCCATTCCCTGGTCACCCTGGGCCTCCTCCTGGAGGACCCCCGCCATTTCAAGGTGGAGGGACACAGGACTAAAACCACCACCATCGTCGTTGTCAGCGTTAAGAATTACAGCGTGATGATCGTCATGTTTGTTGCTGTAGAGACTTAGCCCAGTGGTGACACGTTCGCTGCTTTTTCGAGGTGCATGGTTGGAATCTGGTAAGTCACCCTGGTTATTACTGCAAGTGTATTAACCGTAAATCTATGCCTTCAGCTTTATTGGACGTTAAATATCTCTTGACGTTCAAAATGAGTTGGCCATTGTGTGCCAGCATCGTGGTCCAAATTTGCAAAATTACAAAAATTACATGCAAATTGCTCTTTGAAATAGACAGCAACCATCGCCCCCTACTGGCAGAATGTCTGCTTGCAGGGCTGCTTGCAGGCCAGATGAGTCGCCTTGTATTGCAGAGGGACAGTTGCCACGGGCTCCCTTTCCAATGTTTGAGATGAGAAGTGATGTAAGCCACTTGTCGCACATACAGCGCGCGCTTGAGATGCCCCAACAGGAAGAGCGCTCTATCAAACCTATTATTATTGTTACAATTTTCACCAGTCATGATCATCGTAGTAATGATCATCGGTCATCTTTATAATTCATAAACTCAATTAAGAGAATTACTAGCATTGTCATCCTCTTGCGATTATACATACTAACATCCACCTCTGATTAGCACTGTTGGCTACATACGGTGCGAAAGAAGTTCTACATACATTGCGATTATCAGGGTGGTTGGCATTCTTACAGGTCATACTCAGCATTGTCCTCGTCTTCGACATCATTATAGGCTTTATCGTGGTCAGGATTGTCCCATCATGAACATAATCCTCAAAATCCTAATGATTATCATATTCTTCCTAAATGTCATTGTGCTTATAATGACTGGGTGAAATCAAAACAATTCCGCTAATTTCTTATTATGAACAATGAACCCGGCCACCCAATTTCGATTCCTGGATGTGGCTAACATTAGTAGAGAGTAATATCTGAACTGGTTTTGGCTCCCCACCACCTTAACCATTCTGCAATGATGCAGCATGGTGACTGACAAGAGAGTGGAAGAGGCTTTCATCCAGCAGTGGATTTAAAAAGGGCTGTCAACTAAAATGAAACTATTATTTTGGATGTGAATGTATGCACGTGACTGAAACAGCTCTTCTATGTGCATTTGTGTGCCCCCACAGTGCAGGGCCCCCCCCGCGGGATGCCCCCTGGTCCTCCTGGACCCATCGGTCCCCCCATGCCCGTGCATGGCCCGCCTCCCATGGGCCTCGTGGGCCCCCCACCTCGGGCCGACCGCCCCCCACCGCCCGTAGTCTTCCCCGGGCAGCCTTTCCCCCACCCAAATCACCCCCACCCTCACCAACACCCCCACCCCCTTCAGCACCCCCACCATCACCAGCACCCCCACCCTCACCCACAGCAGTTCCACGGGGAGCCCCCCCGCGGGCTGCCGCTCCCACTTCACCCCCATGGTGTACCCCCCATGGGCCCAGGGGGCTTTGGGCCAATGCCACCTGGCCCCCCTCAACAGGGGCCCCCACCGCCACCCCCGCCCCACCCACACGGACACCCTCACCAGCCTCCCCCAGGTCTCATGCCCCCCAGACCGGGACCTCCGTTGCCCCCGCCTCCCTCCTCATCGGCTCCTCCGGGGCACCCGCCGGGGCCGCCCCCCCACATGGGGCTGCTGCCCCCGCCGGGGCTGCCCCCTCCCGCGCCGCACGTCAACCCTGCCTTCTTCCCGCCCGGCAACCACGGCGGCGGTGGCGGCGGCGGTGGCGGCGGCGGCGGTGGCGGCGGCGGTGGCGGCGGCGGTGGCGGTGGAGGTGCTGGGAACAACGTTGGGCCTCCCGGGGGTGATCCGAGGGGCCCCCCGCCCCCCGAGGGGTACGGGCAGCCCCCACAATTTGAGCGAGGAGATTTTCGCAAGCAAGAGTTTGGACGCACGCCCTCGCCATCGTAAGTCGCTCATGCATGCGCACGCGCACAGAGAGGGAGACACCACAGGGTGGCGGTGTTGGCTGCTGCCGATTTGCCTTCATTGTCAACGTTCGTGTGTACAATCGTTTTGTCAGTCTGCTTCGTGTGAGAGGCTCCTCAACACGCCTGTACTGGTCACAGGAGTTGCTTGGCCAAACTTCACCATGCTGCTGCTCCGTGTGGGTTGGTGAAGGTTGGGAGCATTGTCGTGGATGCGACTTCGGCAAGATGTCCTTTTGATCATGTACATCATCGTTGTCCTCTTTGTCGTCATGATCGTCGTCTTCAACATGGGGCACCACAGTGGCGAAATGTTAACTACTTCGCCTGGTATACACGAGGTCTTGAGTTCGAGATCCCCAACCCTTGACGCCTGTTGTATACTTGGAGTTTGCATGTTCTCCCCGTGGTTGCGTGGATTTTTCTCCAGTTAAGCCCTTAACCAGTTGTGGTAGTTCAAACATTTACACCTTTTAGCTGTTTCAAAATGAGTTAAAATATAACCGTCGTGATGTTTGTCTTGTGAAATCACTGGTGACGGCTTAGACTGTCCAAACGCTCTTGAGAACCCAGTTTAATTGAGAATTCCGTTTATTTCCTGGCAGGATCTCCGCAGTACCCTGCATCTCTCAAACCCTCCATATATAAAACCCTGCATATAAAGTCGTCACTCAATGTTTTGACACAACCATTTCTCCCTTATCATGCTTGTCGGAGTAGGGAGACGCTTGAAACTCATTAATTCAAGGATGTTACATAGGACGTAGGGGTGGAAAAGTGGCTCGGTGGTGAACACTGCACCATGAACCCGGTGATCTACATTCGTTTACCGGACACAGTTAACATTGGTGGAGAGTGATGTTTGCAACAGTCCTGAGCAATCCCCTACACCCCTCGGACCGCACAGCTGCCTCTCATTTTCAGTTTTACTATTTGGATTACATTTTTTTCTGTTGTCGATGTCATCGTAGTTTGGGGTACCGCTTTCACACGGAAATGGAGCCAGCGAACAACAGCCTGAGCGAGGTCGAGTTTGAGGAGATCATGAATCGCAACCGAGCCATCTCGAGCAGCGCGATCTCCCGTGCCGTGTCCGATGCCAGCGCAGGTGAGCCACGAGTGGTGACTGGATGGAAAACGACTAAGGCTTTAAAACCTAACAATTGTAATGATGGTGATGTTTTTTTCAGGAGTAACATTTTTGTTAAGTTTGATATGAAGTCAAGTGCTTCAGGGAGATGTGTAGTGAATTTCAGAGATGTTTGATTGTGTTGGGCAGTGAATGATTTACATTTGGGATGGCATGTGCATCCAAAACCACATTTAACCCGCAACACTGGGGCATCATTTACGAGGCTTGTAATGGTTAATCGATTAAAATGGATTCTTAAGATTGCCGTACATTAATCAAATATTGCTTTTAAGCATGTCTTATTTACAGCAAGTCCAGAAATTATACGCTTTATATACCTTTGGACTTACAGATTGAACAAGACAGAAGAAATAAAATGGGGAATACTACTGATGAAATAAAAGTAGATGAAAACATTTTAATTCTTAAATTGAACCGCAACCGAGTATTGTAGCAACCCGGTATTGTAACAATCTATCGTAAATTAAGCGAGTCTTACGCTCAAATACATGCATCGAATAATTTGTGTAAACATTAAATATTTGTGCAAATGTATGCAGAGTTTATCTTAGGTGAATGACATGATAAACACAACACAGATGAGACTTGTAGGCAAGACAAAGAGCACGAGAGCGGACAAGTGTACACACATTTGAATGTGACGGCACACGTGCCCAATTAACAGCACACACAAGGCCACACTATTGAACACAAACACATCACAGCAGACATGACTGGCAGAACATACAGACAAGACGGTGCAGATGAAACAAACAGTGTCGGCGAGACGGTACGGACGAGATGCAATGCGCATGAGACGGTACGGTACCAATGAGACATTACCACCAAGACGATACTGTCCAAACACGACCCGTACACACAAAACGAACGGTACAGGTGAATTGCAAGATGGCACAATTCTTTCCCCGAGTTGTGCCGATGCATTTAATTTCAGGAAGAGTGTGGTGGAGAGATGTTATCTCCCTCGCCTGGTTTACAGGACGTCATGGGTTCGAACCTGACCCCTGTATATTTGGAGTTTGCATAATCTCCCTGTGGTCGCGTGGATTTTTTCTGAGTCTTCCAGTTTTTCCCTCCACATTTAGAATGGACATGCATTTAGAATGTCTGACTGCTATGACTATCTACGATAATCCACTTCTTTGAGCTATAATTTGCGGCCAGGTCGCTTACGAAAGGGAGCTGTATAGCTCAGTGGGCCTTACCTGGTAAAATAAAAAAAAAAATGTTTTTCCTCTCCCGTTTCCTCCGTGCTGTAGGCGAGTACGGTAGTGCCATCGAGACCCTCGTCACGGCCATCTCACTCATCAAGCAGTCGAAGGTGTCGAGCGACGAGCGCTGCAAGGTGCTCGTAAGCTCGCTGCAGGACTGCCTGCACGGCATCGAGTCCAAGTCGTATGGCTCCGGAGGGAGGTGAGGAATGGCGAGACTCTGAGATGGAGGGGGGGGCGGTGGCCGTCGCGCTTAGTTGGCCGGGGTGTGCTTTTTCTTGGGTTAGGTATCACAGATCCATATTCAGATCTCACAAACGCACAGTTGTTTTTGCCGGCCCGTCGTTGCACCCGATTTAAAAAAAATCTATAATTGTGTGTGTGCGCAATAACGCCCGATGCCAGAAAATGTAAATAAAGTAATGGTGGTCACTGGAAAAATATAAATACAGAGGAAAAGCAAAGAACAAAAACAGCGCACGAACGAAGTATGTGGTGATAACACAAAATCTTAAGTTTTTTCCCCATCTTACTCTGCATGTGCGGTGGTGCTGCTATGAGTTAAACATTTTATACAGGGGGAAAAACCAAATTGCTTTTGCAGTCAGTCTTCCGTGCACGTAGAGCATGTCCTCAGTCGCCCAATGGCAATGGCTGCCGCAAGAATAGCTCTGGTGCCTTGGATGGCAGATCTGTTTAAAAAAAAACGCCACAGTAATTAATAATTAATTCGACTCGACTCAATTTAGACATGTGACAAATTCAAAACCTTTGATCTCTAAGTTAATACGTTGAATTTCATCTGTGTGTGTTGTCGTGTTGAATTAATTGTGTGTGCTGCCTTGGACGTGTGTGCACCGTCTGGTCTGGATGGTTTTGCGCCATTGCGTTCACACGCGCGTGCGCGTTCACACGACGTATATGCTCTCGTACGCAGTGTTGCTTGTCTGCTGCTGCTGTTTCCGAACTTGTCGCTTCTGTCCGCCAACTGTGAAACACAGACTAGCAAGGTGGCTGGATGGCTCTTGAGGCTAATTCCGTGTAAGACACTGAACCATAACCAGTGAGAAATCAGAGTTCAAATCTGGGTTTCAGTCATCAGTGATTAAACAGGATTCTCAAGTTTAGCGAGGTCACCAGTTACGTAAAAAAACAATTTGTTTGACTTTTGTTGATCACTTCCATAGGAGGCCATGTATGAAGAAGCGCTACAAAGTGGGGGTGGGGATAAGCAACTACGGAAGATACGGCGACACACGCACGTGTCAAAGGGTCTTCAAAAGTAGTTCTGGCGAATTGACCGATGATGCTGGATGTATTTACCAGCGAAACGTCGTACTCAAACTGTAAATGTTGTGGATTCACTCTTCATCACACCGGTGGGTTAAAGTAGTGAACTATTTGTCTTTTGTCAACGTGACACTTTTTTGCTGATTGGCCGTGTCGGGTGGTGGAGGGTTACGACACATTTATAAATAACGCGATCTAACCCAAAAACCTTTATTATGAATAGTTCTACGATGTCATTCCAGACGACGTTTGATAGCACAATGCGGCACAATGCCTGCCGAGATCTTGCTGAATGCGAATGTGTTTATCCCCGTGACAACGTGATGCCAATAGCACCATCGCAATCGCGTGTTACTTCGGTCGCTTGAGAGCAATTGAAATGTAATCGCTCACTCGCTTCTCGCTGTCGGTCGTCAGGAAACGCGAGAGGTCGCGTGAGCGCGATCACAGCCGTTCGCGAGAGAAGAGCCGGCGGCACAAAGAGCGATCGCGTAGCCGCGACCGGCACGAGGAGTACTACCGGGAGCGGAGCCGCGAACGAGATCGCCACCGTGACCGCGACAGGGACCGTGAACGCGAGCGCGAGTACCGGCACCGCTGATGTACGGCCACGGCGCCACGGGGCGGGATTGCAGCACCACATGGGTTCATGGGGGGAGTGGGGGGACAATTCGCTGGGTCACTGAGAAACGGTTGGGGGTCTAATGCACCCCAACTTGGGACGATATTTAGGCCACGCCACTGGTCTGCGCGCATGGGGAATTGGTCGTGCGGTGTCTGGTAGCTAGAGCCTATATCTGCTTTCACGTATCATTCGGAAGCTTCCATCTCATTCAGTAGGTTCCATCCAATCACATTGCTCCATCCCTTCTAGATAACTCCCATCTGTATATTGTTTTTAACTAATGAGCAAGCGTGAATTAATTTGTTCACCGAGCAGCTCTTCACAATGCATTATCGTTTGTAGGTGCTGCATCGCCCCTCATTTCCCGGCCGTTCAGCACCAGCGATGGCGGCAGCAGTGGCGCCAAACAGCACCGAGCGTCAGCAATTGGCGCTCTTCCTCTTCGTGCGCTCTTGCTCACGAGATCTGTTGTTGTAATAGTTATTCTTCTCATGTTCTTTTGTGAGTATTTTCTTTCCTCCTCCCCGCTGTTGCGTATTGAGTAGAACTGCCCCTAGCACGGCTTAGAAGCATCTCGGCGTTGTCTCGTCGAAGCTGGGGCAGTGGACGGGTGGAGAGAGCACGTGAGCGAAACCGTGCAGTGGGTGTCGCGGTGAGATGCTTGCGACGGCGAGGAGAGGTTAACGAGCGGTTGTCGGTCGCCGCATGCAATCTCTTCTCGGTGCGGAGGAACACCAACAGGGATTCCCTCGCCGCCCCCGACACAACGCGCTGCACTGCAACGTCACGACGCGCGTGTGGATGTCCCCCCGCACGCAATTATCGGCTTCTCGTATGAAAAAAATTTATGCATCGTTCGCTGATTGTTGTGTTAATAATACGTTAACTCTCTTTCAGGAATGTTTTTTGTCCTTTGGCTAGTCGTTGTACCCCGCTTCCATCCCCCCCTCGACCCTCTTTTCCCAGTAACGGCGAAGCTTCGATTCCCACTTGTTAAATCCCGATTTCTATTTCCTTCCCATCATAATCAAGGGCAGTTACGTAGTCTTTTGTTGAGTAGATACTGTTTTAATAATTGTATGGACTGACTTAGAATTAAAAAAGACTTGTTAAGTGTTTAAGTGTTGTCTCTTTAATGTGTGATAGAGGTTACTGATGAAATGTTGGAACGATATTGCCTGTGATTTATGTTTTTAGACAGGTGCTGTGCATGGTAACCAACGGTGCACTTTAATAATGCCTTAACATACTTTAATGTTCGTTTTACAAGCTAGCGAAGCAATATTTTCATTATGTGATGCCTATTTTGTAAGGTAAATACAGCAATTGCATTATTAAGCGTGACCAAAAGCTTGCACAACACCTGTTTAAAAAGCTCTAATGCTTAATTTGGTGGTTGATGTAACTAGAATTTTTTTTTTGTATCATTTGATAAGGTTACTTATTTTCTACCTCGTAAGCGTTGAGGTTGGCCTGCCCTCACTTGACCAACTCGTTGTTTACACAGCCATTCGCTATGTTGCAGTGGTGACCAGGTGTCAGATTTTTTCGGATATCTGTACTATCCTCCCAACATATGAACAAGGCCCACTATTAAAGAGGTTCAAAGGAAACCGCTCCTTTGTAACCGAGGTCACGGTTCTTAGTTTCTACGGGGTTTGTGATGAATCTCAATGAGTTATCACCTGGTTACATCAGGCACATTGTAAATGCAATGGGCTAATGTGCATTGGTTCACACGGGACTTGAACAACCGGATGATTTGACGTGAATGTTGCACGAGACCGTTATTTACAGTTTTCCTTCAACGGCCGAATCACTGAGCAGTTAAAAGCGATGGTCCACTTCCATGCATCGAAAATACATGGCAGCCCATTACACTTGCTACCGAGTTGATGGTTTGATTCCTGCTGCAGCCTCTGTTATTGTTTTTAAGTGTACACACTGCTACAAAGTAGATGTTAAAGACCCTGTTACATTAAGAGTAAAGCATCGTTTGCCTGTTTCATAGCCCAAATACTAGTGTTTCAAAATTGGTAGGAACTTAATTTAAATTTTTTTAAGTAATTGTATAACCGATAACTACCTTAATTAAAATCCGAGGATTTCCTTCCATAAGGGATAACGAAACTCGATGGGCTAACAGTTTCATATTCTTCTGCCGAAGATGGCGTTTATCTTCATTCTTCGAAAAAATGTGTATTTTTGTTTTGGTGTGGGGTTTGAGCCTAGTTAGTTTTTAGATGGGCAACCACGGGGGCTTGCCCAGTGCTGCAGGACACGTGGTTGCGTGGTCACTGTGAGATGGCAGTGTCGATTGGCACCCCCCTCATATGACTTGAGTTTTTTCTGGCTTCTGTTTGTGTATAATTGGCATATTACAGTTGCAAACAGGCACCATCAGTCTAGAAGAAGTCTGTCACTGTTAAGGACTGTTAAGTAATAACTTTTTAAAAGTTTTGTGTGTTGAGGACGAAAGGTTTTTCCCCCTTTTTGTGGTTCCTTTGAAAGGGGTTTCGACTCTTAAAAAGGGGCATGCGTGCATCGAGCGCACGAGATGGCGCAAGCACAACAAGCACGTTTATCGTTTTGTGCGTCCATACGGGCGATGTGTTTCTGAGCTTCACACGTACTGAATACCTCTGCACTGGCAGTTTTGTCATGTGGATGCCGGAGAGACCCTTTGCTGCCCCCGGTTTCACCAGTTGCCGACGTGCCGAAGCTTAAATGTGAACATCCCGTGTGACTAACTAAAACATAAGTGACCTCATCTAACTACATTAAAAAACTCATTAGGCTCTCAACATGGTCATGTTTTGCAGGTCATTATGGTTGATTGCCTTTCCGGGCTTGAGTTTACCAGCAGCAATTGTTCAAGTAGGTAAAAACTGCACAGGTTTCAACATTTTGGGTCTCGTCAGCAGACCAAGGCTTGTTAAATATACTGCTGGGTTGCAATACATTGGCAAGAGCACTCCCTCTTACAAATGGGGCCCTGTATTGTATGATAAATACTGTATAAACACTGCGTTCTTATGGAGGATTGAGTGCGCATGAAAGGTTTATTTTCTCTCGCTTTTAAAGGAAGGCATAACCCAAAAAACTGTTCTTGTTGGACCGACGTGTACTTATTCTGTGTCACTGGCCATTAGACGTGACTTTGAAGCTTTGTCAATGACAAAGAAGACTCCCAAGTGGCAATACGGAGCTGGTCGATCACGTGCAGGAGTGGGGGAACTGTTACGACTGCCACTGCAGTGTCCCGTTCTTACGCCAGTGGTAGTCCTCAAACGTGTGCTGTCATTGTCTTAAGTCGCGGTGAAGTCTTTGTTCTCATTCTCTAAATGTCACGCGTCGGAACGCCCAGGAGGAACAGGCTCGATGTGCGTCTGCAAGATAAGAGCCGATTGCTCTTGGTTTGTCTTTAATTGCGAGATTTTTTAAAAGTAATGTTTAACAAAGTTTTTGGACATTGGAACATTTACCCCCCGTTCCAGTTGGCTTTATTGAAAAGAGGGTAAATTTATCTACTTTTCAAGCAACTGATTAAACCTGTTTTCAAGTTTTTCAAACTATGGTTACTCCCATTATTATTATTTTTATAAGTGAGGCTTGAATTTCGCCATTTTCGGTGGGCCGTATTGAGTCGAATATTACAGGTGCCGTTTTAATCTGATTGGTTTTCATAAAACGATGTGTATAAAGTTGCAGCATGCAGTTATTTCGCTCGGTTGATGGCAACATGATTCGGCCGTTTGGTTTGTTGAGGGTTTAAATCCCGCTGGTTTATTAGTGACATCTTCTCATCCCTCCACTGTTGATAAACTAGGTACATCTTTGTGGGATGTTAGCAGAAGTGGCCGGCCTATAGAAAGAACCGGCTCCCACCGTGGTTATATGGAAATGCATTGCTCATTTGGACAGGGAGACCGTTCAAGTTTGATTGATGTAAGGATGGAAAGAAAATAACTGCATGACGTTTGTTGCAAAGCATTCTCACGTTCTGGTAGTTAAAATAACAATTCACATTGCATTATTTAGTCTCACTTATATAAGTGTCTGTTACAGACTGTACTGTACATATTGCATGTTTATGTGTTAAAGTGTATATATGTATATACACTATAGGTGCTGGCAAAGAATTTGCCCCAGAAGTCTTAAGGCTATACAGGGGTATGTGTATAGACCGTACACACACGTGTGTACACTGGGTTTCCAATTAGAGGCAATAAACTTTTCTCAAATTGGTAATTCCTGCAAATGCACTGCGTGCTAAATGCATGTATTAGGGTATAAATAATTGTCAATGTTAGTTTGAAATTCTTACACGAGTTACTGTACATTTTTTGTATTCGTTTTATCGCTAACGTAAGAAACACTTTGACCAAAACAACTGAGGAAATTCAGTTTAACACGTGATTCGTTGTAAATCTTGCTCCCGCAGTAGCAGTTCACGTCGGCCTGTTCTAACGTCGCCACCAACAAATGTGCTTTTAAAATGTTTTGACCATTTAACACCACGAGTGTTAGCATTGCACAGGATGTGTATTGGTTGCGTGCGTAGGTGATGGGCGTGGAATTTAACCGGTCAATTGCTATTTGGACGTTAAGTTTTCCTATCCACTCCTCCAACTCGGCATGTATCAAAATCTGCCACCAGTCCACCCATCGGACAATTCGGTGAAATTATTTGTTATTAAACTCCAATAATAGACAATTTTAGTATGTGTGTGTAAGGATGCGAGTGTCCAACTGTCTGTAATTTGCATTGATATGCATGTGATTGAGGTGAGCGTTTGTGACCGTGTTTGTGAGTTCGTGTGTGCGCGCGTACATATCTGTGGGTGTGTTTGTTTAGAACTAATTTTAATAAAGGATGCCATCGTAATGTTGGATTCCAACTTTGGACAGATCCGGTGGAAATTATTGCTAATGTTTTGGTCTGTTGGGGTCAATGCATGTCAGTTCTAAATTCGCCAAATCAATATATTCCACGCCCATCGCTAATAAACGTGTGTGCACCAAGTGGAATGTTTGTGCTGCACAAGTGCATTCTGCCTGATTGTGCAAGTGATGACCTCTGACCTGAACGTGTAGCCATGCAAGTGAAACTGTACAGATGTGTTTTTATAAACTCTGATCGCACCCCTTTGTTTTAAATGTGCCAGGCAGGAATTGTGGGGTTTTCCCCCATCTCCTTGTCCTCTGAAACTGTCAGAGCTTATAAGGTATTGTTTAATGTTGTGGTGTAAAATACACTTTGTCAAGTAATGCAAATAATTGAAGTAATATTAATATCAGAGATCATTTGAGCCATTTCAGTGTACTTTGCGCTCACAACTGACATTTAGTGCTTTGCACAGCTTCCAATGTTACAGCCAATGGCGCATTAAGAGGCGGATCTTATGCCGACATAAAATTCAGTGTCTGACAATTCTACAAAGTGGATTTGCCGACCGTTCAAGAGGCCTGAATTCTGAAAACGTTCATGGAGATTTTAATGTTCAGCTGTGCCGACGTCTCAGTACTCCCAAAATACCTTTGATAGTCGTGAATGGCAAGTACAACAATCGTCGGAACAACTTAAATGGTCTGTGTGGTTGTGATGTACAAGTGGAGTGACGTCGCTCGGTTGGGGTGTAAGGGGTTTGTGTGTTCTGCCATGTGCTGAAGCTGTCGCTGTTTTTTTCCCGTTACAGGAGGGGAAGTGTTTTTGGTCGTGAATGGTTTAATCCACCCCCAAGTGTTGTATTGAGGGAGTTCGTTTCCAGATGCCGAGTCGGCACTAGAGGTTCTGCCATTTAGTCACACGTGGTGAGTTAAATTGGTCTCGGTGAAGTCTCCTATAATGCCCCATCATTAAAGATCAATCTAGCAATTATTTTTAATTGCCGGTACCCAGCGCTGAGCTTTCGTTGATGTGAAATATGTTTACTTTAATGAGCATTGGATGGTACAAGTATCCATAATTTGTTAAGAGCCAATATAAAAATTGCATGTACCTATGCAGGGGGCAATCCATGAAGTGGTAATCATACATTTTGTTTCGAGTTGACCCATGACCAGGATTTGAATTCGACCTTCCGATCATGAGCGAGGTGCTCCTCTCACCACTGCGCTTGCCGGCTAAGTGTCTCTTATTCATATTACGACGGTAATAAATCTGGGGTGTCCCATGACCCTGTCATGCACGACTCGCGTGAGCTGCATGGTGATGGATGCAGTGGAAGAGAGTCGCGTTGGGAGAAGTCCTGCAGTGTCCTGTTCCGTGCCAGTTCCCCATGAAGACGAAAGTCCTCTGTGATGAAGGAAGGTTTCTCAACGCACATGATATGTACAAAATAAGCTGCACGCTGTCATGTCCAAGCGTAGCACAAAAAAAATTAAAGATTGAAAAGTTAATATTGGTGGAAAAAAGATGGGTTCAAACATATAGAACCATTGAAATCCTAGTGGTAATCGTGATGTCGAGTTATTGTTTTTAATGCAATTACAACCGTGCCTTAAGCTTATGTTTGGAAATGACAATATGAAGTGATTGTTTTTTGCACAATTTGTTGTGGGCACCATTGGTCCAATTTTTGTATTCGTCATGTTCATACAGTGCAAAATGTGTTCATAGCTCACTAACCCTTATCAGTGGCTTTCACTAACATACTTGGTAAACGTATATATGTATTAAATAGCAGAGTAGATTTTAAATTGGGCTGCTTCCCCACACCTTTGTTTCGTTGGCATGTGCTCAATCACGTTGGTGGCAGAAAAATAACGTGAGCATATGGTTGTTTAACTTGGTACTCAAACCGACGTATATAAACTGTTGCGTTAGGTCAGGGTCAGCAAACAAAATAACAATCGGATCGATTTTTTCGAATTACGTAAAAAAAGTAAATTTTTAAAGAGCCGCAATACCCGTAAATACGAGACGGTGGTCCTTAATAAATAACGTCATCAAGTGGTCCTTAAACCACACACGGTTCGAGCCACAGGTTTCCGACCCCTGTGTTAGGTGACCAGCTTTGGGGCTTTGTAATGGCCATGTTGCAGTCATAACTGATGCTGCTGAGTGCATAAGTTTGATTTCAGGCTGGAGTAACTTGTCATTCATATTGAGTTGGCAGGTGTAATTAGTTTAATCTCAGCCCGGTCATCAATAACTGCACAAAAGCCCATAATTGTACTATTTGGTTTCACTTAATGTGTAATTCCAGCTCTACAGATGAGATGTTGTGTTGGTTCAGGGTCACAATTAAATTTCAAGAATGAATAATTTTTCATCTCCGTTTTTTTACTGGCAAGTTTTTGTGCCGGTTTATTTGCTGCATTAGTCCGAATGTAACAAACATAATTCACACAATTCCTGACTTCATGTATATATTGTGAGTGTACGAATCTATAAAGCAATGCATTGTGTACATACATGTTGATCGGCATGTGACAAAGACTCCAGAGCACGTGGCTGGGCATTGACAGACGCTAAAAGTGAGTCCGGGAAGTTGTTCTGCGGCCTTATCTTAAGATGTTTTTCTTGTTCGTGTTTTTTTTGTTTGTTGTGGTTGCACCCGATTCAAGAGCCGAATGGCTCATAGGGCTATACCAAAATAAATAAACTAAAAAATATCTTATAGGGCCCTTCCCCAACACAAGGTGCCCTCCGACTTAACAATTCTGGGAGGAAATGTGTTTGTCTTAAGTTCCTATGACAGCATAATCGTGATACAGAATATTTTTTAATATATTCTATATGTAGACGACACGTGTATAGAACATGATTGTTCATAAAATCTGTTGTGTGGCGATCGGGAAGTTGCGCAACTCTCCGTCGTGTTGTTGGGCTCGACTGCGTGTTGCTTGGCACGATGTCTGACGTTTTACTCCGCGCGCTGGGAACTTTCAGGAACTGATTTGGAGCACCTGAAGCGACATTTTGGACGTGATTGCCCAACATGTGGTACTATCCGAATGCACAGATGAATGTTTTATTTTCTACTTAAAAAAATGCAGTTCATGATATGAAATATAAATTTCGACTTAAAGCTTTCGCGACTGCAGGAATTCATACTCTTTGGGTCTTTCGGTAAAGTCACGTAGGTCGAAAAATAATAAAAATAAATAACGACATTTCGATCGCAACACAAGCAATCGTCTTCAGGTGGAAAAATACAGCAGACGGACTGCTGAGGCAGGGAAGCCATATAGCGAGAGAGCTCCTGCAGCCAAAGGCTATATAGGTTTGAGATGGGTACAACCCAAGGGTAAGTGGGCTGGGCTAGAGATGGAATTTGCAAGTAAATGTAATATAGCAGCTAGATATACCTCGGTTATTGTGTGGCTAGAGATTAGCATGTAAGATTCGCATGCGATCTGCCGGGGGAAGGACAACAAACTAAACACAAAAAGCACTTCTAAAGAAATGAAAATTTCAATCTATAATTAAAAGGGCTCGAGTGGCTTCCTCATATCGGAAGAGCGTTCCAGACGGCCGCAGGAAGCGCACCTGAAAACGCGCGATGCAATGAAGCTTGTTGAGTGCTGGGCAGCAGCAGCAGCGGTGGCGGCGTCCCGTGCTGGGACCCCGATGCGGTGGGGACTCGCAGGGCAGAGGGCTGCGACCGCGGCTCGGGAACCGTGCAGGCAACCACCCGCCCGCCCGTCCCCCTCCACCGATTTGGGGGTCACGATTCAATTTGTAGACTGGTTCTTCGTTTTGCCCTTGGAGTGCACGGCAAAATCCACGCCTGTTGCAGGGTTTTTCGTGAATTGGTCGCGTAAAAAACGCGCTAATCAGAAATAACTCTTCCAAAAGCGCAATTCCCAATCGTGAGCGAAACGATTGACGTTAAAGAATCGTCACATGCCGAACGCCCACATTGTCACGTTCGTACAGGCCCAGTGGCTTTTTTTGTGGATTTGAGATGATCGAAAAGCAGTGTACAGCAAATCGGCTGCTACCCCATCCGCAGACTTTGAGTGCCTTTTCTTCACGCCTATGGGTCGTCTCAGGACGTTCTTGTTTCGATTGCACGTACAATTAGACATCTCGTAACGAATTGGCCAAGCATCTTAAATGGGGACGTTACGAGGCTCTCCTGAGCAACGATTTAAAATAATGATAGTGTTGACCAACAGGGACGCAGCCCCAGCCTGTAGCCCAACCCCTAACTTTGGCTTGGCAGAGTGGGTGGAAGGGGGGTTTCTGAACGTGCCTTTGAGTTAAAGGTTGAGTGCATATTTTTTTTATTTTACCTGTGAGAGAGAACAATTTTCACCTGCCTAGGCAGCGTACACTGTTTTTTTATTTACAATAAACAATAAGTTGTGGCGCAATGAAAGACACGAGTGAAAACATTGCTGAACGGGTGCGCGCAAGGGTGTTTGCAGGCGCTGACCTCTCCAGATCACTTTGTGAAATCTGTAAGTCTGCAACTGTTATAATAATTGTTTTTTGACCTTTTTATCTGGCAACAAAACTGACACCTTTTTTACAAGGAGTCATGTTTACATTGACCACAATACCTGCGGTCGGAACACAAACAAAAAATAACAACTCTGATAATGTATGCACTGTCCTTGAAATTGATTGGTCCACACCCGAGACAGCTTTCTTTAGAGCCTCGTCTCACATGGTGTTGGACCAGAAGACGCCAAAAGGCGCACAACTCAAAGGCAATGCACTATCAAAGTATGAGAGCTCGGGGTAAGCATCTACACCATTGGAAACCTCATTTGCCAGGAACAAACTATGATAATTGGTTTTTTACCCTTTTATCTGGCAACAAAACTGACACCTTTTGACTCCTTGTAAAAAAGGTGTCAGTTTTGTTGCCAGATAAAAGGGTAAAAAAACAATTATCTGTAACTGTTGTTCTGACATAGGTTCTGCAGAATTTGGTCACTCAAAACGTTTAATAACTGAATGTGCCCAAGGTATGTAGCAGTACAACAACAAAAAACTATGAGATTTCTTCTAAATATAAAGTGTAGTTTTATTGCCGTTATTGAATTAAACGCGTGTTTTAATTTTAAAAATTGTGTAACGTTAAAACATAGCGGGAACAAGATGCTTCCCCATCCGTGCACTTCGTGGGCAGTCTGTCCCTCCAGGGTATTACCTGCAATGAGATGTCCCCCGCGTATTGGTGTGCGTGAGATGTTTCCCCCGTTCTGTAATGAGCGAGATGTTGTGTGTCCGTGGGATGTCCTGTGTAGTGATGAGTGAGATGTCCATCCAGTAATACGTTTGAGATGTTCTTCCTGCGCACGTCGGCCTAGGGGGAGCAACAAGGTAACGAGCTCCGTCGACAGGTGAGTGATCAGTATCCCTGGTGCTGCTCTGTATGCATTGCCCTTAATCGCCACTGCCTTGAGCTTTTTCATTCCGTTTTTTTTACAATGCAGTTGACCAAATAAACACAAACATTCCAGAATCGTGCCTTTTCATTTTTCTCGTGTTCCTGGCTCTTTTTTTGGAACAGTTGATGTTACTCGTTATTTTCTCTGTGCAGTATTGATTTGCCTTTAACATGTCCAACTTACACCTCCGAGGAGAAAACGTTGGGTTTGTTTTTGTCAGGGCCCCAATCCCGGATCACTGTTTAGGGCCCCATTCCTCCTATGCTTTTGGTTTTCCGTGTGGGTCCCACCAATCGGTGATTGCTCGTCTCACATGGTTCCGGCCCCAATACGAGTTGGCGTCTTCACGTGGCCAAAAGCAACGAGCATTTTGAATAACATCGCTAAACGGTTACAAAAATTGTAAAGGAAAACCGTCGATGCTATTTAGGGGAGATATTTGCTCAACATGCTATGTAACACTGCTTATCTCTCGTGCGGTGAGATTTTCTGCCAGAACATTCGGCAATGTGCGTCAATCTAATGGCACGCGTGCGCAAGGTTCAGCAGTCGGAACAGTCAATCGGTGAGCGCACATCTACCTAGGGGCTGCCCGATGCCACCCAAAGCCTCAAACATCCATGCATAGTGGTTTCCTTAAAAGCGAATGTGGATACAAAGTAAGACCCAACGATTATCACCCTTACCTGCAACGAAATCTTGACGTTATGTTTAAAAGGTAAACAAAAACAAGTGGCTGTCGTTCTGTGCGAAGGGAGCCCCAACGTTCAAGATCCACCCTGGCCGTGCCGAACGTGTCGAGCCAGTGTCCTCCGTGCTCAAGCGCCGTGGTGGTGCTCGTAACCGTTGGCATCCCTGAGCCAGCGATGCAAATTCCACATTCCTATTAGCCAGTGTCTCCATAACAATGACTGATGATAGGCTGAACTGAACCCGGCAAGCATTTGAACTGCCAAGTTGAACGCTTTGACTGCAGTCTCACCAGGTTAGACATAGAAATTTCATCCATAAATGTCAGTTACTGCCAAGGTAGTTTCAAGTAGTGTTTGTCAGTGAACGGAAAGTATCTCTCGTCTGAACACTGTTCAGAGGCGACTGTGGTTGTCTGCAGACTGCTATGGGTATTGATCAATTCCATATACTATCGCCCCGATGGTTTAACTGCCTACAATCAGCTGTGTTTATTAGATTAATTTACAATAAACTATGGGTGTTATATTTATTACACAATTCAGGCAGCTATGGGTGTAAATCGGGCCCACACTGGTGGCTGTGAGCACCTAAAGACAAAGGAGCAAGAGCTGTTAGAGAGCACTTATGAAGGTCAGCACAGTACACTAGGAGGTGGGTAACCAGCACCATGCCTTACCGCCTTTGTCTCCCCAGTGGTGATGTTTACACACCGTACCAGGTACTCATTTGAGGATTAATCGACCTAGGGGAGGCCCAGGACCGCTTCATATCGTCACTGGTGTTGGCTGTGAGCTGGAATCGAACTCGCATCACCGGGTTCGTAGCACAGCACGCTAACTGCTACGCTACTGTCAGCCCCGAGCAACCGTGTTCACAGGCCGTCGGGAATGTTGAAGATGCAGCTCCCGCTCGCCGAGGCCACGGGTGCTCTCCCCACGTCGTCGCGTTCCGCCCCTCCGAGCCGCCCACTCGGCACCACGCTCCGCCGCCTCCCGGCCTCCTCCTCCGTCACCACGAGCAACGCCTGCAGTTCCAAAGGGGCATCATTGCCAGTGCGGCCACCGCCGACAACGCCGCCACTGCCGACATCAAACACCGTGGTCATCGTCGACGTTTCCGACCATGGGAGGAGGAGGTCGGAAGAGTCCTCCCCGTCCCTCCCAGTATCGGCGACACCATCGCATCTAGCGCCACAGCAAGACGACGATGGCAACGTAGCGGGAGCTGCTAACCCCACGCCGGGACCCTCGTCAGAGTCTGCACTCAACAGAGGCCTCTGGCTCCCGTGCCCCGTGGAAACGCTGCTCTGGCTGTTAGTGCTGCTCTCCAACTTCGTCGCCTCGTGTTCCACATGCGGCTGCTGCTGCTGCTGTTCCAGAGGCTGAAGCGGAGGCAAAGGTGGTGGCGGCGCCAGCGACGACCGCGGCGCTCCGCGCCGTCCGTCGGTATCCAGGCACGGCACGACGGTGTCGACCGCGATGGAGTCGGGCCGCTCGGTTCCGTCGTCGGCGTCGGCCCTGGGCACCGGCGTGCCGTCCCTGGGCCCTTTTTCCCCGCAGCCGCAGCCGTTGCAATTGAGGGCCCCATACTCGCCGGCCTCGTCGATGCCTGAGCTGGACGAGGCAATGCTGTCCATGCGCCGCACCAGGTTCATGCGGCGCGTGATCCTGGACGCCTGCACGCCCTGCGCGCCAACGGTGAAGAGCGGCGCCTGCGGTGGCGATGGTGCGGAGCCGCGGCTGTGGAGCAGCCGCTCCAGCAGCTGGGGCACTGGCATGCCTGGATCGGATAGCTGCTCCATCGGTTGAAACTCCATGTCGTCCTTGTGCATGCTGATGTGAGAGAGGAGGGAGAAAAGAGCGCAAGGGGGCATTGTTGATTGTGTGGTTTAAAGGAGACCACGTATTCATAACGGGGGGGGGGGGTAAAATCTAGACGGAGGGGCGCCAATGGGAGGGCACACAAACGAGGTTGTAGTCTACCCAAAAACCAAAAACTCACCAAACGTCCGTGTAAGTAATGCTTCTGGCATACACCCCCCCTCCTCCCCCATGCTCCCCCTAATGTGTTCCATAGGGGTGATGGGGAGACGACCTGCCCCGTTTTTCCCCCTCGCTTTAATTGCCGAGTCGACTGACTGCACGGTTCTCCATCGTGGATCAGTGAAACCACCAGACCTCAAAGTGAAGGGTCAAGAGGCCACTGCTAACAAGACCGTTTATGCCACTGCGCCACGGCCATGGATTCCTGCGGTGGTTTATTACACTGCGTTGGCAAACACAGACTTCTGCTTCGTTTTATAACTTGCCGTGTTCAAGGTCAGTGGTGATAGTGGTGAGAGTGGTGAGGTGTGTTTTTTTTTACCCTGGTGAAAAATTCGACCGTTTTCTATAACTTCGTCATTATGAGACCTGGGCCACCTTGGGGCCGGTGGTCAATTTGCATGAATTATCTCGATCAATATTTTCCCTTGGTTTGCAACATAAGTGAACTAAGGGAGAAATATTCCACTTCAGGAATGTTCTGTAACATGCCATAGGCCTAAGTAGGCCTCAGGGCCTTGATTTGGGCCTGGCGAGGGAGCAAGAGGAAATGCGAGGGGGGATGGCAGCAAGGATCCACTGCTCTTGGCAGGACCTCATGTCGAACGCAGAGCCCAGGAAGGAAGGCTTGTGCAGAGTGGACATGGTGGCGGCGGTGTACGGAGGCCTCGGGTCGCTCGCGTTCCAGTACATGTCCCTCTGCAGCAGTGGAAGGTTCTGGTACATCTCGTCCACGGCCAGCATGGACACCTGTCGCGGGGCACGCCACAACAAGCAACTCGTCGCGACTTGCTGGGGACCTTTACATCTCGTTTCTTTAGCACTCATTGCTATGGCAAATTAATTATTTATGCACCACCCTACCCGTTGTTTCCATTGTCGGCCCTAACACAGTAGAGTGTCTTGACCCGCCCATATTGGACATATGAGAAAAAGAGCTTCATAGCTCTTAGGATTCCTCCAGTCTAAATAAAGATATCGATTCTGAAATTCCAATTGTGCTAACAGCGTCACGTCACGAGATGAGGACAATTCCGCTCACAGCGAGCAATGAAAAATGACATCGTCCCAGGGAACAAGCCCGCAGAACATGACATTTCAGAACTACTTTTGGATTCACTTTAAATCGCAGCCAAAGGGGAGAACGCGCCAGAGATTGTATCCAATGCGGAGATGGGAGTGATGAGCGTGTGCGCAGAGTAGGACTGTGAAAGATGGCGAGGGCCTGGGGAGTCCTTCATCCGGCAGTGAATTGATCATGGCTGATGATGATGATGATCGAATTGAGTAAATATGGCAAATAATAAAATGCTGCATTTAACTTTTTGTTGGGGGAGGGGCGGGGAAAGAGAGACCAAGGACGATGGCGACGCGTGTTTGTTCGATGATGACGATGTTGACGGATGGAACAGCCGGATTGTGGGGGAGAGACCTGGAGGTTGCGGTCGATGAGGAAGTTGGTTTCAAAGTCGTCGTCGTCCTCGCCGAAGGGGTTGATGAGCTGCTCCGCCACCTTCATGAGCACCGACCACGCACGACGGTGAATTCACACGCAACGGAGAACACGCGTTCATCAGGGCGGCCATTCTGGTAAATATTAATCAACTTATGATCCCCACCCCCCACCTCTCCCACCATCCCCTCGCAGAAATTCTGTAAATATTCACAATTTCAGTCACCATTTCTGACACGTTTTTGTGATCTTGTTTGTTGTTGCTTCTCCTTATTTGTCTGCTTTTGATTGCTCCACAATTGCATAAATGTAACAGCAACAACAACAAAAAATTCGAAGTAATTTCTCTCTCGAAAGAACATGGAGGAAGTGCTCAGCTTATTTACAGCACCGAACTGGTGGTGGAAATTCCACTTTGCCATGAACAACCGCTTTTGACTTCCCGACAGAGTTCTGGTAATTTTATCGACATTGAAGGGACATTGAGTCGAGTCAGTCCCCCCCCACCCCCAAACAGAATTTGAACTGGCAACCTTCAAACCTGCTGTGAGTTGCTCGCCCTACCGTGGAGCCAGCTGGCCGTTTGACGAAACATCAAAGCAATTGCCGTACGCAATTTCCATTACACCAAAACCCATCGTTGTGCCCAATTCAAAGCATGTATCGTGTTGGAACTGATTCAGGTATACCGTGGTTTTACAAATAAAACATTGTTAACATGCCTCGTAAATAATTACCAGTGCTGTTGTGATAAAAAGTAGAAATGTTATCCTTCTCTTTGGGTCTTTCGGTAAAGTCACGTAGATAGAAAAATTATTTTTAAAAAGAATATTTTAAAAAATCACGACGTTTTGATTGCAACACAAGCAATCGTCCTCAGGTGACATATTTTTTTCACCTGAGGACGATTGCGTGTGTTGCGATCGAAACGTGACTTTTTTATTTTTCTATCTACGTGACTTTACCAAAAGGCACAAAGAGTATGAATTCCTGCAGTCACGAAAGCTTTAAGTCGAGATTTAACTGTTATCCTATTGAGATGGTCACTCCCATTTTAGAAAAAATGTGGAATTTACACCACTTTTTTTTACCAGCTAAGGCCCATTGAGCTTCATAGATATTTTTCAGAAGTGTCCTGGCTACAAATGATAGCTCAACGAAGTGGCTGATGTGAAAATTTATAGCAGCCAAATACTCTAAATTCATGTTTCTAAATGTGAAGGGTGTGGAGTGAAAACCGGAGGCCCCAGATAGAAACCCATGCAACCACGGGGAGAACATGCAAACTCCAAATATAAAGGCATCAGGGTCAAGATTGAACCCACGAGATCGAACCCACGAGATCCTGTATACCAGGCGAAGTAGTTAAAATCTCGCCACCGTGGTTTAGGGTCATCAATGTAGAGGAGCACCGCCCTATTGCTCGACTGAGTCGGGAGACACCTTGACTCTTGACTCATTGGACAAGGCCAACTCGGCGGAACAAAATGCCTCCTCAGCCGTGGGATCGAGGGTTCAAATCCCGGCCAGAGTGCACGTCCCGAACCTTGAGCCAGCCGGCGTAGAAGAAGAACTGCAGGAGGGTGAAGACGGGGATGTAGAGGTCCATGTCGTGGCCCGGGTAGCCCTGCGCCGGGTCCAGGAACTGGCGGCCGATGAGGCAGGCAAGGAAGAAGCTGTACACTGCCACCGTGACCACCTGCAGCACCGCGCGCACCACACAGGCGAGTCAACTCGGCACCACACAGATGGTTCATTGTCGTGCCACCACACCTGCACAGGCACCTTCCACCAGCACAGGTGAGGCATCAGCACAACACACCGGCAAAGGTGAGACCATCATAGCACGAGACACGGTGCATACACCACCCACTGCACCGGCAGGTCCACAGGAAACACCAGAGCACACCTGCGTGTAGACGAGAGGTACGCTGATCCAGTCGTAGTGAAACAGCATTCCGCAGTTCCCCCGGTACACGTTCATCTCCTGCGCAACACAGACAGGGTCGCCGTCGGCAATAATAATCAGTAACCATCACCACCGCCATCATCATCATCGGCACTCCCAGAGGACTCGTTCTATTTAGACTGAGGGTCTCCTCTCATCTGTGCCGCGTTTAACCACCACATTTATCAGAAAAAAATATTTCTTTATGTTGGAAGAGTCCGATGTGGCTATAAATCTCTTTTTCCCAGGTGTCCAGTCGGGGCAGGTCAGAACGTTACAACAAAAAACAATACAAAAACACGATTAGAGTGCAACGTATAGGCAAGGTAAGCAGATCACGAAACAAAATACAAATAAAATGTTTGTTTTTATCTTACCAGGTAAAGCCCACTGAGCTATTAGCTTATTTTTCACAAGTGACCTGGCCACAAATGGTACCCAAATGAAGTGGCTTATCATGCAGGACACAACACTTCTCTTCCTCCTTTCTTCACGCTGCTCGACTGGGGAAATTCCCTCCATCGTCACTCTTCCCAAAATACGATAACCTTGATCGATCCAGGTCGCGCGTTAGTTCCTATTGACTGTACCGGACATTGGATTCACTCGGTCCTAGCGTCACTATTCCCAAGGTCAGCTCAAGTGGGAATAGTTGTACATCAACATTTGGTTATCCTATGGGTAGCCACGCCCCTGTCACAATAATGTAAAATTTCCAGCACTGGCTCAGGGCTGAAATTGGTCATTAGAGTCACCCAATACTTGTTTGAACTGTGAGACTTCTTTGACTTTCATTTGACTCTATTGTTACAAAATAAACACAATTTCAGAATACGTCGACTTTGGTCTAACGACAAACACAACCGATGTCATTTGTATATTTTAACAACACTGCCTTGATATTTACTCAACACCCCCCCCCACACCCCTTCACCAACTACATTGTGAGTGAACTGGCCTGTGCCCCGCGTGTTAAGGCAGGACAGGGAGGGGCGAGGTCCTCACATCGAGCAGCAGCTTGAGCGCGACGTCATCGCGAACCCGACCCTCAGCCCGTGCCTGCGCCGCCAGGCTGGAGAGCCATACGCACGGCACCCAGTACTTGTTGTAGGAGCAGCGCAGACCGTCGAACCGCTTGCGCTCATCCCGCGTCATGAAGCCTGCACGGAGACGACACGGACGCGCCGGGCCGGCACGGCGTGACCGCAGCGCCGCGTGGTGCGACCGTTAGCGCGGTGGAGGGCGCCCGGCATGGCAGTTGAAACAATAGTGCGAGTCTCTTGACCCTTTCCTGTTCCGATGATGTGCGCACGTGCCGATGACGTACGTGTACATCATTAAAACGAAACCGGAAGAAAAACTAAACTAACTTCATATGGTACCGAGGCTCCCACAAGTGCATGCGGGAGGGCGTGTGGCACAGTTTGGCGCCGGTGATCATAAAGTGCGGTCATATCACTACAGTTCTCTGCAGTGTGTACAATGTCTTTAAAAACGGCACTATGCCTCTAAATAAAATCAACGCTGAGCCACTTCCACGGTGAATGGGACCCACACCCTGCAACTTGCAGACGTCTCGGAATGGGAAAGGTTTAAAATCCCCCCCCCCACCCCCGCTTCTGTCCACCCAGCAGTATAAGTAGGTAAAAACACAGTTTAATCGATATTCAGGTCGTATGCGGTGGGATAAAGTGTAGGTACTCCTACCTCTTTCGAGAGGAGATGAAGCGACCACCCATTCAGAGAGAAAGAGAGAGTAGTGGTGGAGGGGGTGGTACCATGGAGATATGTAGTCGTATGAAGAGGAGAACAGGATTTGTACAAATACTTGATTAAGGCAGCAATGCAGACAACCAAAGGAGTTTTAGCCCCGGGACCAGCAGAAGACGAGAAGCAACCTCCCGAGGGAAGACAGCGGACTCCCAGCCACTCGAGCAGAGGTGGACGCGAGGGAGTCCACCCACCGGCCTCAACGACGTGGTCCATGGTGGGGAACCGCTTGTAGACGGCCGTGCTGACGGAGCGCAGGATGAGCAGCGCCGACAGGTTAGCGTAGCGCATGAGCGTGCGGCGCAGCAGGCGGCCGCGCTCGTCCACGCCGTGCACCGTGCCCGCCACGGCGCACATGAGCCGGTCCGGCGTGGGGATGCTGGTGTACTGGCTCCACCAGCGTGACACCACGAGCGCCACGTAGAAACCTGCGCCGCCACCGCCGGCAGAGACAGAGAGAGGCACGGGGAGGTTACGACTTGGGTCTCTTTCTCACTCTCTCGCAACTCTTCAAGAGAGTCCAGGGCTAATTACAGCCGTCAGATGCGCGAGCAGGTTCAACAACAAGAGCATCAACAATAACAAGACGGTACCCCGATTACGCAACGCGGAATGCCGTTGCCAAATACCGCAAATTATCTCTGAAATGAGATGCGATTTACGTTAACGCAAAAATGTGACTGGCTCGGTGACTTCTGGGTCACTCTGGCGCAACACGGGCGCAGCTGCCGTGGGTGCCGTGGGTATCCGCACGAGACGAACGATAAATCTCACGCAAAAAACACAGTATTTACAGGCCAGTTTTCCTTCCTTCAACTGTATGAAATTGATTCGTTTTATTTGTTTACTGTAGGTAATAAAAATATAACCCTTAAATACTGTACATGGTAACGTACGGACAGGAGCATCAGTATTCAGCCAGTAGTCACGTAGATTGAATATCACTGTCGTGCGAAGAACTAAAATCGAATCAATAGCCACGAGAGCCAATGGGCGAGGAGGGAGACCGCCCCCCCCCCAAGCTTCTAAGGTGTGGGCTGTGGCCCTGGTCTGCACCCACACAGTGAGCAGTACAAGACGACTGCTGCACGTCTCTCTTTCAAAAAAGAGACACAAAGTTACGAAGTTTAAAACTATTTCAAAACGAATCTAAACCATTCTTAGTGTTACCAGGCAAGGCCCACTGAGCTGTACAGCTCTTTTTCAGAAGCAACCTGGCCACAAATAGCAACTCAACTAAGTGGTTTATATCGTGTGGAAATTGATAGCAGCCAAACACTCTAAATGCATGATGTTGATTCTAAATGTGGAGGGAAAAACCAGAAGGCCCGGAGAAAAATCCACGCGACCGCGCGGAGTGTGAGAACATGCAAACTCCATATATGCAGCAGGTGCCAGGGTTGGAATCAAACCCACCACCTGCTGCATAACAGGTGAGGTAGTTAACATTTGGCCACCACGGTGCACCCAGTAGAGTAGTGCAGCAAACAAAACAAGTTCACAATTACACGGCGCGACTGCCAAAAGTGTCAACGATTTCTCTGCATTTGGACACAAAGGTACGGGAGCTACGTGGCTGGGGGGGGTAGCAAGGGGGGGGTATCAAGGGGGGGGGGTAGCAAGGGGGGGGGGTAGTGGGGGCTGGGGAATTGGTGTGGGCCGCGTGTGCGCACCGAGCACGAACGACACGGGGATGAGGTTGGCGTAGTTGTTGCAGTAGAGAGAGAGTTTCTCAAACAGCCGCTTCTGATCCTCGCTCAGAGCAAACCTGCTCGTTCACACAATGACAACAACCGCGGCATTAACCACAAACGGCAGCGGCAACAACAAACAGCTGCCACCGCTACCACCATCTCCATTACCGTAACCATTAACCACCACAGCCACGAACCCAACAACCACCACAAACAACTAATCAACAACCATCGTTCCTATCATCACCACTACCACCCCATTAACCACCGCCAACTACCCCCACCCCCATGACCATTTACCACATTGCATTCAGATTTTTCCACGTGATTTATTGTGGGTCTCTGTTCACTTTTAAGATCCGACCATGTCCGTCCAGTGCTTTCTGAGCTGCATTAGCTTCCGGTTGCTGAATGAATACATTATTAGGTCGCACTCATTACACACGAAGTGCTTGCCACAAATGAACCACAACAACTTGCTGATCTCGTCAAGATGCATAAACCATCATGCAAACTCCGGTCATCCTTGTAGCAGCTTTGGGGTAGCCATCGAACAAAGATGGTCACCGCATCGCGCGCTTTCAGATGCTCTTCTGTGGCCGTCTGGAACGCTCTTCCTTCCAATATTAAGAAGTCACTGGAGCTATGCACTTTTAAATCTAGACCGGAAACTAATTTATTTAGGAATGCTTTAAAGTTTTTTGTGTTTAGTTTGTTGTCCTTCCCCCACATCTCCAATTAGCACGGTTGGCTACGTATGGTGCGAAAGAAGTTCAACATACATACACTGCCCACAAAATGGTAATTATTTTATCGACCCGTGTTAGATGCTGTGCCGTGCGACCTCCTGACCAGAATTGTAACTCACAACGCTCCAATTGTGGGAACTGCACGCTCCGATCACAACCCCAAGCAGTTCATCTGAAATATCGCGACCAGCCCAGGCCTCACCAACGATCTCTAAGTGGCACGAGGAGTTGAGGCTGGGTAAGTAGTCACCTGTAGGTGAGGCCAAGTCACCTGTACGTGAGACCGAGTCACCAGTATGTGAGGCTGAGTCACCTGAACGTGAGGCCGAGTCACATGGATGCGAGGCCAAGTCACCTGTATGTGAGGCTGAGCGCGGCGTACATCATGAAGTAGATGGAGAACTCGCGGTACAGCAGCTTGTAGATGCTACCGCGCCACTGCAGCAGAAGCTTTGAGAACCCACAGAGTCGCGCGTTCGCGACCCGGTTCGTGTACGTCACCGTCATCGCTGCTGGAGTGGGGCGGGGGCGAAGGGAGGGGGGGGGGGAGCAAAAGGGGGGGGGGGGAGGAGATGGGGACAGAGGGGATGTGGGGGATAGGGGAGAGAAAGTGAGGCGAGATGTGTCTCATGATGGCTCTGTTATGTCCCAAGAGTGAAATCTTACATTTGGAGAAAAAAAAATCCTTCTATCATGACACTCTCTGCCTGAGGTAGATATATGGTGAGGGGTGTAGTTCCCGGGGTCACCAACATGACAAAAGCAAAACAAATAAAATTAAGTACAGCACTGCAGCAAATTTTAAATCAGTGCAAAAACAACTGCATCATCATGGGACCTCTTTTGCCAGTATTCAATTATGATAATAGGTTTTTCCCTTTTCTGGCAATAAAACAGGTGTTAAGATGTCTTGATAGTGGCATTGTCTTTGTGCCGTTTGCCTTTTGGCGTCCTCTGGTCGAACAGTTTGAGACTAGGCTCTAAAGAAAGCTGTCTCTAGTGTGGACCAATTAGTTTCAAAGACAATGCACACACTGTCAGAGCATGCTTTTTTGTGCGCATGTTCGCCACAAGTATATGTGGTTAATGCAGACATGATCTCTTGCAAAGGTTTCAGTTTGGTGTTTTAACATTTCAACACCTGTTTTATTGCCAGAAAAGGGAAAAACCTATTATCAACAACTGCATCGCAAGAGAAATCGAAAATGTTGGGCAAATGTAAAGCAATATTAAATATTAAGTTCCGTGTAGCGCAATTCGGCTTGGACAAATTATTTTTAGGCTGCTTGTAGCACAATTGCAAAATTAATCTACAGACACAATAAATTGAAAGAGGGTGACTATTGAACAGGTATCCCTAGATTTACAAACCCAGCGGTGGCAAGATGTCAACTATCTCGCCTGGTATGCAGAAGGTCGTGGGTTCGATCCCAACATGATACCTGTATATTTGGAGTTTACATGTCCTCTCTCCCTGTGGTTTTTTTCTCCGGGTCCTCCGGTTTTCTTATCCACATTTAGAGTCGACATGCGTTTAGAGTATTTGGCTGCTATAAATTTCCACATGATAAGCCACTTTGTTAAGCTATCATTTGTGTTCTAGATTTAAAGCTTTCGTGACTGCTAGGATCCATACTCTTTGGTTCTATTGGGTAAAGTCACGTAGGTGAAAATAAAATAACAAAAAATCACGACGTTTCGGCCACAACACAAGCGGCCTTCATCAGGTGAAGGGACGAGACTGTCTGGAGGACAGCGCTGGAGTGAGAAAAGCCACGCTTAGATCACGACCTTTAAGCTGTGTGAGAAGAAAACAAAGCGCCTTGACAAAGGAATTAGCATATAATTTAGCATTGAAATGACTCATTGAAATAGCTACGTTAAAGTATACACATCCGCAGAGGTACCCCTTGACAAAGGAATTAGCATAGAATTTAGCATTGAAATAGCTGAGTGATTAGCTTGTAACTGGTCACAGAAATAGCTATGTTAAAGTCAGAGCATATACATTCACCGAGGCACCTAGTACTAATCAAACAGGAGAATTTAGCGAAACACAACCACGCTCAGACAGCGGACCTTTAAACTGTGTGCGAGCAAACAAGGTGTTCTGACAAAGAAATTAGCATAAAAAATAGCATTTGATTGGCCGATTTTAGAAAAGAGGTGGTGTACGTGCCGGTGGACTTGCCGTTTGGCGCGGGGGGGGGGGAGTTTACCTATTGATGGTGTGAAAAGGGAATTTATAAGAGCTGCCAGGTCGCATCAGTGGACCTTTACCTGGTAAAATAAAATGGTTTTAGTTTGGTTTTATGAAAGTTTGGTGTGCTAAATTTCACGTTAACGCAATTGACAAATTATGGACATTTTTCGACTAACGAAACCGAATTTCCGCGGTAACAGAATTTCACTCGGCTACGCGCCACGAGATCCAACAAGCAGCACTTGGGAGGCTGCGTCATCCAGTGCCACAGAAACCAACCACTCCACATCACCTTTCTAGTCATTATAACATGCAGATCTTTTGGCGAGTTCCCTAGAAAGGTGAATTAATTTTGTTTTAAATTACTTATTATTCAGTCATTTACATATTTACGTTCTTTATCATTATTTTTGTATTGTGAAAAGTGATTTAGGTTTATATTTTTATGTTAGGAGAAGAGTTTGAATGTCCAAACACATCCCTAATCATGTGTATGAAATGAACGTGAGAAAAGACATTCCGATTTACGAAATTTCGTTTTACGCATTTTTTTTTTAAAGAACGCCATCCATTTTCGTAAAATCGAGAGATACCTGTATTAACATGTACGAATGTACAATACCGTATCGTGTCTACATGTGGGGGACCCGGGTAGGGGCAGCAGAGAGGTGAAGTCAGACAGAGAACAGAGTGAAGCCAGGCAGTAGTTAGAATATTGTTCTTCTTTTGATGCAGATGCAGAGCAACAACTACAATTTCACAATCAGGTGGTCAAGTCAGATAACCGCGTCAGGAGCAGCGGAGTCTATCGGCTGTGATGTCTCCTTTGTGTTTGTGGATCGGCATTGCATCGTCATACGTTGTTACGGTCTGTTCTGGATGACCACGGTCGCACGCTGGAGAGTTTTTCATTTTCCATTTGTGCATCAGCATCGGCTATGGTTTGTGAATGATACTGATGTGCGTTCATCTGTGTTAGTTGTGTCCGTGTGTGGGCAGGCGTGCATGTTAGTGTGTCAGTGTTAGTGAGGGAGAGTGTAGCCCGCATGCCCACCCACTGCATGCCCAAGCAGCTTCTGTTCAGCCGGATATATGGGGCTAAACGGGCACGGCACGGGCTAGAGAAGAGATGGACTAATGTGGAGTTGGTTGGACTTGCCGTTGACTCGTATCAGCCGTGTCAAAATCGGCCTCTGTGGAGGAGGTTCCTTAAGGACGCTGCCGGGCAGTTGGAAATAGTCGCCCTACAACAACAACGGAGGGTAGTGGAGCGACGCTCACAAGTAGTGCAGCAGATTTGCGGCTAAAATGCAGAGTTAGCACGGTGGGGAGCACAGGTGGTGCATCTGCCAGTCTTTTCAACCAGTCAACCCATGGCACCTGGGTCTGTTTCGTGACCTGCCAGTGGGCCTTCGACACTTCACGTGGCCTCAAAGTGCACCTAGCATGGCACAAACGCCAAGCTCATGTCACCGCCCCTTAGTGGTGAACGGCGGTTGTTGTGTAAGTGCATGTTAGTGACTAAATGTGGGTGTTTGTATGTTCTATCGCTGCTCACAGCCAACATCAGTGGTGAATATCTGAACCAGTCCTGGGCCTCTCCTAGGTCGACTCAGCTTGAAACGAGTAGCTGCTGCGGTGTGTAAACATTAGCACTGCAGAAACAAAGGTGGTTCTGGCCACACCACCACCTCGTGCTGGCCTTCATCAGTGCTCGCTAGCAATCTTGTGTCGGTCACATGAGCTCTTTGTCTTGTTCGTGACTTAGTATGTTCGTGGATAGGCTAATGTGTATTCGTGAGTATTATAGTATATGTTAGAGAATGTGCATTAGTATCATTATGAGTGTATTTTTTGCAACTTAGTGACTGTTAGTACGAGTGAATATGAGTGACTGAGGAAGTTAGCGAGTATGTGAATGTGTGTAAGAGGCAATTCATCGTGGAATGTGAGTGCACTTGTTTGAAAGAGCACGCGTTTGTTAGTTACCGGCTGTGGTATGCTTGTGTGAGACTTTTTATTGTGCTTGCTTGTGTGTGGGGAAACAAAGGCGTTCGGGCGTGGCTCTGGCTACACGACATCCTCACAGCGTGTGTGTGTGTTGTACCCTACGCACTCTCAAGGCCATCCCACAAACAGGCAAATCAGTCCGTGAATAAATAATGGCAACCATTTCCTGGGCTGGGTGACGATGGCATCACCACGACAATTACATTTCAAAACGGGAGCTTAATTGGGATTGAAGTGGCTTTCCTGCGTTAATCCTGGGTGTGAGGTCACAACACTGGCCGATAAAGCTTTTGTAACGCACGTGGGCATACACGTGCACAGGTGTGTTCTCCTATAACGGCGTGTTATCATAACGCAAATTGGATATAACGCGATAAATGTATTCAGGAACACGTTTTCTATAACGTGGATGCGAATTGGATATAACGCGATTTTAACAGAACTACGTTGTGCGACGAGGAATATGCGGTTGTACGGCTGCCTCGGCGTAGCATCACACAAGGCGGGATGCTGCTAGATGCTTTCAGATGCTACCCATGCAGCTCAGTCTTTGTTCAGCCTGCAAACGCTTCTCACGAAGAACAAACTGTACTGTATACACGAACATCCCTATTATCAATCCACTGTTGGATGAGGGCCGATACCCATGCCGTGGGGTTATTTAACCATACTTCACCGCGCTGGTCAGTGTAGGCGGTGCAAACTCCACCGGGGCCCCAAGGCCAGAGTGGCCCGAGATGCAAAGTGAGGGGAGACTGTACAAGGGGCCCCCCATTTCATCACCCAGGGCCCATACCAACAACGTTACAGAATGAGAATGCTGTTTGTATTCATACTGGAGGAATCTGATGAGCTATAAAGCTCTTTTTCACAGATGTGAACAACAAACAATAAAAAACACGATATGAGTGCAAAGTATAGGAAAGGCAAGCAAACACATTATTTTTTAAAATACGATACAATTTTACTTTAAAGCCCACTGAGCTATTCGCTCCTTTTTCAAAAGCCACCTGGCCACAAATCTCAACCAAGTGGATAAATGATGTGCAGCGTTGTGGGATGCTGTTGCATAAATTACGCTATATAAAATGAAATTGTTATTATTATCATGTAGAAGGATGTAAGTGAGAGCATAGAAGCAACTATTAACTACGGATTTTACTTTGGCCACGTAGTCGCACAGCAGCACCTGGCATGCATGGTGATTGTAGATCCAAACACTATTTAGGCTCAAAGCGGCTTAGCTTCCAAGATCTGACGAGATCGGGCCCATTCGAGGTGACTTGCTCCCAGGGC